ACAAACTACATACATTTCCAATGGATCTGCAATACTTCGACTATAACGAATTTTCCATCTTTGCTACTTCCAATAACAAACTCCATACATTTCCAATGGATCTGCAATACTTTGATTGTAACGAATTTTCCATCTTTGCTACTTCCAATAACAAACTCCAAACATTTCCAATGGATCTGCAATACTTCGACTATAACGAATTTTCCATATTTGCTACTTCCAATAACAAACTCCATACATTTCCAATGGATCTGCAATACTTCGACTATAACGAATTTTCCATATTTGCTACTTCCAATAACAAACTCCATACATTTCCAATGGATCTGCAATACTTTGATTATAACGAATTTTCCATATTTGCTACTTCCAATAACAAACTGCATACATTTCCAATTGATCTGCAATACTTTGATTATAACGAATTTTCCACATTTGCTACTTCCAATAACAAACTCCAAACATTTCCAATGGATCTGCAATACTTCGACTATAACGAATTTTCCATATTTGTTACTTCCAATAACAAACTCCGTACATTTCCAATGGATCTGCAATACTTCGATTATAACGAATTTTCCATCTTTGCTACTTCCAATAACAAACTCCAAACATTTCCAATGGATCTGCAATACTTCGACTATAACGAATTTTCCATATTTGCTACTTCCAATAACAAACTCCATACATTTCCAATGGATCTGCAATACTACGATGATAACGATTTTCGCACATTTGCTACTTTCAATAACGAACTCCATACATTTCCAATGGATCTGCAACACTACGATTATAACGAATTATCCACATTTGCTACTTCCAATAACAAACTCCATACATTTCCAATGGATCTGCAATACTACCATTATAACAATTTTTCCATATTTCTTACTTCCAAAACCAAACTCCATACATTTCCAATGGATCTGCAATACTTTGATTATAAAGAATTTTCCATATTTGCTACTTCCAATAACAAACTCCATACATTTCCAATTGATCTGCAATACTTTGATTATAACGAATTTTCCATATTTGCTACTTCCAATAACAAACTCCAAACATTTCCAATGGATCTGCAATAGTTCGATTATAACGATTTTTCCACATTTGCTACTTCCAATAGGAAAATACATACATTTCCAATGGATCTGCAATACTTCGACTATAACGAATTTTCCATATTTGCTACTTCCAATAACAAACTCCATACATTTCCAATGGATCTGCAATACTTTGATTATAACGAATTTTCCATCTTTGCTACTTCCAATAACAAACTCCAAACATTTCCAATGGATCTGCAATACTTCGATTATAACGAATTTTCCATATTTGCTACTTCCAATAACAAACTCCATACATTTCCAATGGATCTGCAATACTTTGATTATACTGAATTTTCCATCTTTGCTACTTCCAATAACAAACTCCATACATTTCCAGTAGATCTGCAATACTTCGATTATAACGATTTTTGCACATTTGCTACTTCCAATAACAAACTCCATACATTTCCAATTAATCTGCAATACTTCGATTATAACGAATTTTGCACATTTGCTACTTCCAATAACAAACTCCATACATTTCCAATGGATCTGCAATACTTCGATTATAACGAATTTTCCACATTTGCTACTTCCAATAACAAACTCCATACATTTCCAATGGATCTGCAATACTTCGATTATAACGAATTTTGCACATTTGCTACTTGCAATAACAAACTCCATACATTTCCAATGGATCTGCAATACTTCGATTATAACGAATTTTGCACATTTGCTACTTGCAATAACAAACTCCATACATTTCCAATGGATCTGCAATACTTCGATTATAACGAATTTTGCACATTTGCTACTTGCAATAACAAACTCCATACATTTCCAATTGATCTGCAATACTTCGACTATAACGAATTTTCCATATTTGCTACTTCCAATAACAAACTCTATACATTTCCAATGGATCTGCAATACTTCGACTATAACTAATTTTCCACGTTTTCTACTTCCAAAAACAAACTCCATACATTTCCAATGGATCTGCAATACTTTGATTATAACGAATGTTCCATATTTGCTACTTCCAAAAACAAACTCCATACATTTCCAATGAATCTGCAATACTTCGATTATAACGATTTTTTACATTCGCTACTTCCAATAACCAACTCTATAAATTTCCAATTGATCTGCAATACTAAGATTGTAATGATTTTTTCCACATTTGTTTCTTTCAATCACCAACCTGACACATTCTCTTTGCAATTTCAAATGACAATGCAAGTTTGTACCACTGATTAATTAATCTGCTGTGTTTCTCAAATGCTGCGATTGTATGAGAGGCATCTTCGTTTGTAATTTTTATCTGTTTTCTCGTTATATTTTCATTGATACTGCAGTTTTTCGACAATTGCAAATTTGTCAGCTTTTCTTTTTTGTGAAATCTATTTTTTTCTCCAAATAACGTATGATGCTATGTTAATGATATTTAATTTTTTACCTTAAAAGGTCTTTCTTTATGCTTGATAGGTATTTCTATAATCCGCACAACACTAGGCTTATAACACTTATTTTGTCCATATTTTTCATTTATGATAGAAATTTCTATTCAGCAAATTTGGAAAAACTTTTAGTAAAATCCTGCTTTGTAGTTCCTTTGTATGTTTTGTCTTTGCAATTATATTCCATTTATAGTTAATATGCTTTAGAATTTTCTCTTTTCCTTTCTTTTATGAGCCAACTACTTTGCTCGAAAAAAAGTTTTCCATTTGTTGTCTCACCCAAATTTGCCACCCAATCAGATAAAGCAAATGGGCTTAAAGGCCGCAGTGACGGGTATCTTTCATTTCCTGCTGAATTGAAAACTTTCATTGTTTATTGAAGGACCTTAGTCTGAAGTTCTCCATATTTTTCGTCGAAATAGCACTAATCATCCCCGATACATAAAGTGTTGCTCTCGAACTGCCTTTTTGTCGACATTTTTGTCTTTCTTTATTTTTTTGACAAATCTTGACGTCTGCAATCTGTTCTTCCACCACTTTTGTGTAAACGTTAGCTACTTGATAATAGATCTACCTCTTTTCTTCGATACATTGGCACGATCAAGCTGGGTGATAGCTGAAATCCGTTTCACTTGCAATGTTGATTTCTTTATCAAATTTTTTCATGCAGTTTTTGTGGTACATCTTTTTACCTTTTGTTAGTAAATTTCTCAACTAGCAATACTGTGATGGAATTAGCGGGTTGGGGAATATTTTCGTTTGTTTCTTAATAAATAAAGCTTCTTATTTGCGCGATTGTTGTAAATTTTTTTTGAGAATTTTAGGTTATTTGTCTAGACAAAAATATAAAAGAATACACATGAACTGGCTTATATATTTATTAATTGTAGAAAACAATATGGACTGGTTTGAATTGTTTCAACTCAAGCGATAAAGCAGAAAATTGCTCCATCAGAAACTAGGCTTTTGCGACGAGTGAACCAGTAATATAGAGATTTTATAATCATCAGGGGCGAATTTGCCTGCTGTTGTATTGGAACACATTGCTTACTATATTTTAAAGTCCCAGGAAGAAGATACTAACATTTATAATACACACAGGCTCAGTCCAACTGATTCTTTCCGTACTGTTCCGTACTTCCCAACCTTTTCCGTACTGTTTTTAACGTAACTGTCATGCCTTAAAGCATACAAGCTTAAAAAGAAATGAAAAGAATGGCACCCAAAGCTTCCATGATAATAATGCAAGAAGGTAGACAAAAAATGCTCAGACCATCTATGTTTAAGGAAGTAAAGAGGGTGAGAGGGTCCAGCCTCTGTTGATCCCCCACCTTGAGCCACCTTACATACAAAGTTGTAAGAACAGCACACCTTGCTTTAGCGGTTTATTTTTGAAACCTTCACGAACCACAAGACTCTCATGTATTAGAATAATGATCCATTGAATTAGGTTTAGTTAAATTGATAGACACATAGAGCTAATTGCATCCAACAATTGACGAACAATCAAGAGAACCCAACAAAAAAGGGTCATGGATAAATGCTATCAAATCAATCATGAGCGACTGCCATGATCTGTGCAGATATAACAATCTTGCTGAGTTAACAAAGAAGCAAATATTCTGCGTAAAACAAACCCTTATTTCATTTTGTTTAATGATCATAAAGTGTTAATTATTTCGACTATAGAGCGACAAAAGCTTGTTCTTTTGTTTTTGAATAGCTGAATAATATCTGTAAAACTTATTACTTTATAATAATTCTAAAATAAAAGCTTAAGAGACTGTAGGCAGATAAAGTTTATTGATGGATTAAATTATATTTAGTATTTTATAATGACTGGTTCTGCGGAAGGAAAAACTTTTAGACCGACCCCAAACCAAACGGGGAAGGGATAGCGTTGTACGTGCTGCGAGAGATGCAGTTCTAGTTATTGAAAAAAGAAAGTTACTAAAATTATTAAAATTATCTAAGAGCTGTAAGCATAATAAAAGCTCCCATAGAAGATTCGAGTGTTGTAAAAGATTGAGACTAGCGTCAAAAGGATAAGCAATTAAACTCACCTCCCTTTATTCGTATGTTGCCTTAGAATGATATCTTACCAGTGCACAAAATGAAAACAGTGTGTCTGCATTGGTGAAACTTCCTTCTTTCCATTTAATTCTCTGCTGCATTTCGCGTCTCCTCGCAGTACGTGCCGAACCGAATAATGGCGGCCTGTATCTAAATTTGCTGCAAGTATACAATCATGTGACGTCACATTAATCAAAATCGTCACGGATTATCAAGATGGCGGCCGGGCCTCCTTTTGGTTTTAGATAATCAGGCAACTGCATTTTTAAGGCTTTGTATATTATTGAATAACAGTTTCCTGTGATAATGACAAATGAAAATAAGGCAGTTTATCGTTTTCAAAGATGTATTCAATTTACAGTGTTGATCGACTTATATGGATAGCTATCATATGATAATGATTATTTGCTTCTAGATCTGAAAAGCCAAACGATGTCGATGAAGGGGCTAGTACGAGAGCAAAATCAGTTCCTCCAAGCACCACTGCTGGGATTTTTGGAGGTATAACGATTTCTCTTTGATTTTTAGATATCCTATTTCTATTGTTCTTTTAGATTTTTATAATAACAGATCATGACAAAATAATAAAAAAAAAGGTATAACAATTTGATGTTCTCTATAACTACAATCTTTGTTAGAAAAAGGTCTGGGATTTTTATTGAAAAAGTAATGCCATATACTTGTGTCAAATGCGTAGGGCCTAGCTTGTTGCTACCATCATGTCCTTTCCCCGAGGTCTTTGTTTGGAGAAGTGATTGAAAATAAATTGAAGTGCACACACAAGCCTCAAAATACTAAGAGAGATGGTTGGGTTGTAACTATATTTTTAACGTATCTCGGCATTTTTGGCCAGATGTTGTAATTTGCAAACTCGGAAAAAAGATATTGTAACCACCAACAATATAATTTTGTCATTAATGTGTTACTTTTGGAATCTTTTGACTAATATTCTATCCTGTGATGTCAAATCTTTTGAAAAAAACATCTAAAATATTTCAGGGATAGTAGCAAATTCAACTCAAAACTGCCTCGTGTCTTCTTGAATCAATCAGATATGCATTCATTATCGAACTAGCAAATTATACATAAAGCAAATAGTTTTAAGCAAACAGGCACTAAAACTCTATTCAAATATTTGTGTTTATTTGACTTAAATTTTGGAGACTTTTTGGAACTGTATTGGCTAGCATTGTCTTTGATAGATTCTTCCTAGTTTCCAGCATTGTAAGCACGTCTTGTTGCATAGGTATGAATGGATGGTAAATGAGAAAGCAAGCTGGAAGCCTGTTTTTCAGGCATATATGCGGCAGAACAAAAACAAAGCAATAGAGTTCTTTTTTGTATCAATTCTAGCAACAAAAGGGACTTTTTTCTTGGGATCATATGTTCTGTTATTTCTGAAAACTACAAAGGTAAAGAATAACAAAGCAAGATATTATTGCGTCTTGTACCTGGGTGGCAACTTTAGTTTAATTATGCCTTGCATCAGATTTTAGATCGACTTTTCGTTTCCTTTTTTACAGACGGGGGTGGTGCTGTTGATGAGTCAAGACGGCGGAAGGAGCAGTACAAGAAGGACTTGGAAATGCAAATCAAAGAAAAAGAAGAACAAAAGTACAGGTATTTGAATTAATTCAATTTTTCATTTCATTGTCTATTTGGAAAGAAATCTTTCCATATGGTTCTATGCACCTTCTCTTCTTGATTGTCACTTTAAAATACTGTGTCCAATAAGTAATACTATTTCGACACCAGCATACACTTTATCGTAAACAATTGTCCAATTTAATATTTCTCGCTAAGATATATCACAATTTAGGAACTTTTCCTATCTCAAGCGCTCTGATGAAATGATGTTCCTGCCTTCGTCTTTTTTTAAAAACAAATTCTTGATATTGCTGTTAAATTTGTTCGACTCAATACTACTATTCTTTATTTTAGAGAAAAACTGAAAAAACTTGGAAGAATCACATCCTCTGACGAATTAAATATTATCACGGTAGGTTTCTTGTACCAGATAGGCTGCCACGAACAAAATGGCAAATAGAGGCACTTATGAAAATTAATTTCTTTACGTTTTTCTGATCAGCTTGTCTTTCATTGACTATTTACTGTCATCTATTTTCAAATGATTAATATTTAAGTTTATTTTCAAATGATGAAGGTGAGACACGATCTCTTGCCGAAACTTTCTAGTCAATTAGTATAAAAAATTGCTACAGTTGATCTCGGTTATGTCTTCGTCACCAAAATATAAAAGTGGAAAGTCAAATATACGCGTATCAAACATTCCTTAATCAAATCTTTGTATCGTTGGAATATCGGTTACCACTCTGGGTTGCTTTTTAAATAAAGCTCGTGTTTTTTGTCATGGTATAAATACCGAATTATGTTTAAGTTTATTTGAATTAAACTTGTCAATTTACTCTTCAACATGAATCCCATATTGTTTATAAGCTCACAAATCCTGGTATACTCCACATTCTGTGCTAAGAAAATTGCTGTTCACCGGTCTGGTATAAAGTGCTCGATGCCTTGATGGCGCAGCTGGACATTTTTGGACGATCGCATTAAGCGTGAAACTCGGAGAAGAAACCAATCTATATGAATCGCCCTGTTCTATGCACCAGAAGCATTTTCTGTTATTTATCAAACAGCACTTGAAATGTTAATATATTATAATTTACTCTCGAAATATTGTTCTGAAGTTAAAGATAAAGATGTAATTCAATTTAACAGAAAAAAGAAGAGTCAACTACAAATAATAAGCCTGTGACGTCAGAAAACCATACAGAAGACCGCTATGTTGAACCAACCTCAGGAAGTCGATCGGGCAGTAGAAGCTATGGAAGACCTCGTTATGAAGATGATCATCATGATCCTCGTTTGGGTTATCAAGGATATCCAGGAATGCCGTATCGAGGTATGGGTGGATATGACCCGTACATGCAAATGATGCCGGGAAGATTTGACCCAAGGATGGATCCGTATTTGATGCAAAATCCCGGATATGCTGGGTTTCCAGGCTACTCCGGTATAATGTACGGTCCGAGTGCTGGTATGATGCCTAGGCCGGATAGATTCGACGACAGAGGAAGAGATGGAGACTATGGGGGCGGACGTACTTCACGTAAGCTTACTATTTTCTCTCTGGTGTTTGATGTATCCTGTTATAACTTCTCTGTGTTCTAAAAAACGTTTAATAGAGAGCTTACGATTCACGACGACGATCAATAGGACGACCCAAAGTAGCCTGGATCTAGCGCGATCCTCCAAGTAAACCCCCATTTCTGGTCGTAGTGAAATCGAAGAGGCCGAGATTTCCCGGATTCATCGTCGTCTTAGATCTGTGATACGTTCACGAGTATTAAGGCCTGTCAAATATATATTTACTAACTGTTCGGAAGGAACAGGAAGTATAAAAAACTATCAAGGTCTTGTACAGTATAAAACTTATAACTTAGAAAACTTCTAAAGTACAAAACAGTATAAAACTTAACAGTCTTATCACTTTCAAAATCGTTGATATTTTGTAAAGAGGCTTGACAGGAAAGCCATCTATTGGGTGAGGGGCGTGTAATGCATCTGAAACGAGCCGGGGGCAAAGTAAATTGAAGGTACTTTAACAGCGCTAATTTATGTAAAGGGGTATCTCAGAGGAGAGATTTAAAAGAGAAAATGTCGTCATTTTCAACAAAACTCCTTCAAAGCGAGTTATACAAAACTGTTCTAAATTACTTCAACTTCGGAAATCTTTCATCAGATATTAATAAATTTCCTTTACAATTTTACCATTTAAGATGATTTAAGAAAACCTGAAAAAGAGCTCGCCAAATCTGTGTTTTACTGCCTGTTCACATTGCTCTTTTAGATTGATTATCCATCGATTAGAAGTGATCCCAGATATCTGTTCCTTAATGTTTTAACACCTTTGTTTTATATTTGGAATAATTATTTTTTGAATGAATGAGCTTATCAGTAACGATAGGCTCAATTTTTCGAAAGTTAAAAAACAACCCTAACCAAAAATGAAAAGCTAAGATATCTGACATTTGCAGTTTAAATTTTCCCAGCCACTCAAAGGAGTTTATACATTGAAATCCACTGAATACTGCAACACTGCACTCGGCTTGCAGATTACATGTAAGCTGGACACTGAAGAAGTTTCGATTTCAAAACTTGTTTTGACTTCAGCTTATTAAGGCAGTCTCATCGCTGGATATTGATCTTAAAAATTTAAGGAACACGTCAAGAAAAATTTTGGTAGCAGAATAGCCAAAAAAATTGAAAAATTGTCTACCCGCTCAAAACTTTAGTTTCTTATAGAAAAAGAAGATTAATATTGTATTTAAATTTTATTTAGTTATATCTATGACATTTTATATTTTCTTTTTATTTCTCGTTAAAGGTAGAGATAGTCAGGCGCGGAATCTGAAGAGTCCGCATATTGAAGGTAAGAAATGCGAATTCCCCGATCGAATTCATTTTCTTCTGACCTCGTTATTAAACGATTTTAAGCAAGAATTTAGCAAGTTATTCAGGAATTTAAGTATTTGGTAGTTTAGTAATTATTTTTTTTAATTGAGCAGCCGTAGTTCAGATAATTAAGCAAAATTGGGCCCTTTCCCCACCTCAGCGAAAATAAAATGTCAGAAAGGGCGTCTGCTCTACTTTTCTCCACATATTGAAGTTCGGTGTTTAAAGTGCTTTTGTTCTTTTAAAACTTTTTTATAAACCCCCCTCCCCCGAATAACCACCCGGTACCCGCCCTTAGACATCTGGGCTGGTATTTTCAATACACGTCGTTCGTACTTGTAGCTGCGCCATCTTGTATAACCGGGGGTGTGGCTCAGAGGTAGAGCGCTCGCTTTGCATGCGAGAGGCCCGGGGATCGAAACCCCGCATCTCCACTGTGTTTAATTTTCTGTTAAAAGTTTATAGAGTTTTTCTTTGGATTTTAAAAGATCATGTGTAAATGATGACTTTACATTTGATCTCAGAAATTTTTTTGCGTTGTCATCATTGTAACACGTCATCTTCATATGCCTTTATTTCATAACAGGCTTCACTATTCCTTGTGTTCTAATCAGTTTCTTGCCCCCACTGTCTACAGATCGTCAGTTACCCCCCCCCCCCTTCCCCCTCACCAAGATAGCTTGCCAGTGTTTTCACTGCCTTCTCTAAGATCCTCTGAGCACTTCCTTTTCATTTAATGCAACTTACCTGCCTTTAGCACCGGTACAAGAGACTGTGTCCGTAAGAACCAGTGAAGTGAAATCGAAGCATTCACCTCGAAGTGTAGCGGTAACTGCTGGTGTTTTTGGTGACGACACTCCTGATAAGGGAGCCGAAAGAGCTGCTAAAATTGCCTATCAAGAAGAACTCAGAAAACAGGTAAATAATACTATCAAGTCTATTTTTAAAAAATAGACGTATTGATGTACAGATTTCTGTGGTGGGAATTTGCACATGTGTAGAGCTGGCAAAAATCAAACCATTTCTTGGCTGTGATTAACCAAACAGTAAAATAAAGTCGTCAACCTATTTGTTTCCGATGTCTTCTTGCTATAAAGCAATTCTCAAATCTTGTCATCAACTTTTCCTGACACGTTGACATCAACTCTTCTCTAACTTACCTTTACAGATGCAAGAAAAACAAGCTGCAAAGGAAAAAGAGAAGAGAGAGCGTGAAAGGTATTGTTCAACAATTATCATATCTTTGTTTATACATTCCTCATTAACTACTTTCATGTTTCTTAAGATGTCATTGAATTTCAATAGAGACTTCTTATGTGAAGCCCACTTAGAAACGCGACTTTAAGATAAAAGCGAGCATGCTAACAATACAAAATCGTTGTTGCAAGCACCTGAAGGATCAGATTGATACTTAGAATAGTATTAAAGACTTGCATTGGTCGCAATGAGCCTCGCAAAGTTTTAGTATTTATAAGTTTCTTTGTCACGCTTAATGCTTTCTTAATTGGGCATGGAGTGTCTGTAAAGTGGGTTGACATACCAAAGCAATTGAAATCTTGACACCCTGTCATACACGGTTTCTTTACCCTATTTAGCTCAAATTTAACCTACCTTTATACCGTATTTTATCGCTTCGTAACTGTAACCTCATAAATGCCGTCTTTTCTCACTTTGCGATATTTACCCATTTGTCCGCCCCTGATGTTGATCTTTTTTGCTTAAAGAATGCTTCTTTTGACACTTTATTATAGTTCCTAACCTAAATACTACTCTACATGGTATTTGTTACACCCTACCTGCTATCACTTTTCAAGATTAAAATACCTCGAGATTTTCCCTCCAACAGTAAGAAGAAGGTTTTTCCTCCCAGCAAAAATGATACCAAATTTCGGTTTGTGTGTATTCGTTTTCATATTATTGCTGTCTTCTTTTTTCTTTTCAGGTATGAGGCAAAAATGGAGGCCGAGATGGCAAAGTATGACCCTTGGGGACGGGCTGGGGGCGGTGCTCCTGTCAAGGACCAATCAGGCCATCTTGTTGGTATGTTTCTATCATGCAACTCTTAAAATAATTTTCTCAGAACTTTTTTATGAAGTTTTCTAGAGTAACATGTTTAGTCCTCTGTGCCATTCATTCTCCCATTTTTGGAATTAGATATAATTGTTCACCTATTTTACACACTTTAAGGTCTGTTTGACAATGGATATTTCTATGATAAGCATTGTTGTAATTTTTAACATCATTAAAAGTATTTTGCTAAGATCCACCGTATTTCAAATTTCCATCACATCTCCTTTCTTCACAGCCGACTTGAGAACATTACACAAATATAATGAAGATGGAGTCGTCGTATCTCCAAGAGGCGATGTAAATTCTGACGGCAATTTGGCCAACTTACCCAAAGACAGTCCAGTATTAGCAGCCTTGAATGGTTTTCAGAACATTGCAAACTCATCTCCAAATGCGTCTCCACGTGGTTGGTATATGTTCCATTATAAAACTTATCACTGAGAGAGCCAGCAAGCACGTTCTACATATATATGATGTTTACACAAAGTTTTGAGATCAAAACGTATAGCTTCATTTAGAATCTGTCTGCCATCACGTAAGACAGTTTATGGCCTTTAAATCTCTCCTCAGTGTGCAAATGAAACAAAATTTTAGTGAGATTTAAAGGTCTCAAAATTTAAAGGTCTCAAAATCAATTGCTAACTAGTAATAGCCAATTAAGTCAATTTCAATTTAACCGATATTGTAGCTAATTGTTTATAAAAATGTTATCTTTCGAGTTCATATTTTTCAGGTTTTTTTTCTTTTTAGTGTTTCGTTATAAAATTATACGTATATTATTTCAACAATTGCTTATGAGCTTTATGAGTTATCTATTCTAAAAAGCTTTCCAGCTAATGTTTTGCTTTTTTTATTTAAATATCATATCTTTTCGATCTGTTTATTCTAACTGATCAAAAATTCTCTTGCCCAATTTACTCTCTTTTTCTCTCTTTTTTTCTCTCTTTTCTCTCTCTTTTTTCTACAGATACTTCGAAATGCATAGATCTTTAAACTTTTAAAAAAATCTATACTTTTGTATACTTTAGAGAATTAGTTCCTTGTTTATACCTGTATTTTGTGTAAATAATTTTAATTTCCGTCCTAAAGTGATTAGTTTCAAAGAAGTAAAAGAAGGTGCAGTAATTTTTTAAAATTCATAACTTCAGGAAACTTTGAAAACCAGGCTCAAGGAAGGGGGGCTGCTTTGATGGAACTCCAAGGAATACAGAAGGTAGTCTGCAGACGTTACAATCTATTATGAAATTTCACTTCCATTGTATATTCTTCATTATGCTAAGCAGTACGCTTCCATCATTGATTGTTGAACAATTTGCAGAAATATCGAATATTAAGTTTATATGAGTATTGTTTCCTATAAGTATCAATGGACCAACGATATAAGGTCATTTTGCGATAATTGGTTCTATATTCGGATCATTTCTTTTCGAATTGAAAGAATATAAATGCAGATTTCTTGATGAAGGATTGAAGCGTAACTGAAGCCAAGCCATGCAATGCCAGCGATGAAAGTTTGCATTCCGTGTGGTTATAATACAAGTATCTACTCAATGTTTGAAATTAAAATTAGGCCAAGAATATTGTAGAGAAAATACCTAGAATAATATAGATAGCAGACCTTTAATAATTTCCAAACTGATCAAAACAACCCTATTATAATGTTGAAGTAATATAGAAAATATTGATATCGAATTCGGACGTGAAATTTGTTGTAAAAAGATCTGGAATGATATCGAATACCCGGCATGATATTGAGAATATACCTGGACTTTTTAAAGTTTCAAAAGTCATTTTGTCGTCTGTTCGATTCTGTCTAAAATAAACAGATTATTATCTTTATTATGGAATATCATTCTGATTTTGTGATTCTTGCTGTTTTTACTACAGTTAAATTCTTATAAGAGCTTATGAAAACACTCAGTGCCTATTTGTCGTATCTCCTTCAAGTTTCTTGGCATTTCGTTGATTTTGTTCTAAACGTTTCAGAATCCGACCCAGAAGAAAGAACAGCAAAGTTACCAAGATTTTCTGAGGCAGCAGGTGAGCAGAGCATAATTCAAAACGTTATGTTGCATAATGATGTGATACATTATAATTTTTTACTGACTTTCTTCGGTTCACTTTTCAGATCGAGGAGAAAAAGCGTATAAAAGATGAGGAAGAGAGGAAGCAGAAAGAAGAGGAAGATAAAGAGGTATATTTACTACTTTTTATCACTGCATCAAGGTTGGTATGTAAAAAACTGAAAATATATTTAGTTTATTTCAGCTATTAGGAATTTATTCTGTAATCATGATGACATCATCTGAAGAAAAGAACTATGATACAATAACTTCAGACTCAGAGTTAAGATAAGGGATGACTAAATGAATAAGAGGGGGCCTTCTGGAAGCATCAAAGATGAGAATACCTCGATGTTTTAAGATTTCTAAGTGTTGCATTGTAGCAGTTTTTATGTTGCAGATTTTCTGTTTTCACTAGAACCGAAGACTTGAAGAGCAAAGGATCAAAATGGAGCAGGAATTTCTTATTGAGCAGGAGAAGGAAAGACGGAAAGAGGAAGAAGTGTGTATCTACCATGTTAATTTTTAGCCTACAATATTTTTTATTTTTTTATAGCGTCGACTTAACCTTCTCATCTCTGGTAGAACTGACCATTCTATCATGTTCTGTTGGCCAGCATCAACTACCTTGAAATTAAAAACAGGTTTTTCCATTGATTATTGTAGAAGTTATTGGCTGTATTTAACGAGCCATTGATTTTGCTACAGGTTCGCCAGAAGAATGATGAGATGAGAAAAGTTGCAGAGCTAAAAAGACAGGAGGCTGAGAAGGAGAGAAAGGAAATCGAAGCTGATAGATTTAGATCCATTCTGAAAAGATCCTCCGAACTCAAACAACAGTCAATAGAAACGGTATGCTTTTTCATCAAGGTTCCGGATTAAACTTGTCTTGTAACTTTTATAGTATATGCGTTGTTATTATAAAGGCTCTTCCTTGCTCATTCTCTTAGCAATGACTTGCTTTAATGTGATACTTTATAGCAAGGCTATTAGCAAAGTTTTTTGTCACTTCCTCTTGACGTTCAGATATTGCACGAGGCATAGATTTGGAGCACTTTTGAATCTGCATTTGTATTCGTTACATCCTAGCTTCCAAAAGTAGTTTTAAGGACACTGAGAAGCTCTGCTCACCAAGCAGTGTTCTGGTCCTTCCTCTTGATGTGACCACATCTATTGATTCCTACGCCTGGAATTATAGAGAGCTGGCGTCTCCTCTCAATCTAAGTGTCACTTTAACCGCTGAGACCTCCTTATGCCTTTGAGGTCTTCTTCTTGTCTTTTCTCTTTCTAAGTTTAGTAGGTTAGGTAGGTTAAAGTGTTAAAGTAGGTTATATAGATGAAACAAGGAAGCACCTCAATATTTTATCAATTAACAATGTGCGACGTTCGCCAACGATTCGTATATTTGGAGATGTCTCGAAATAATTTTGCCTGTCATTAGTGACTCGAATTTCTAATTAAAATCTATGGAAAAATAGCGCAAAAAAATTTTTGCTATGGAAGAAAGCAAAAAAACTCTTTCCTGGACTCTTTGCGATACTTCTAATTCTGTACGATAGCAATCGATTTTTCAATCTCTATGATGACAAAATTGCATTCGACAGAATATTAATTGCAAATGATTTGTATCTTTTTCAATCTTTTTTTGATGCCCTTAACATAAGAGCGTTCAATAAATCTTTCCCTTCTTTCAAATTCTAGAGCAACAGGCCAAGCTCACCGCCCATTCCTGCCCTACAGAACAATGTGAGTACTTTTTAAAATTTCAAAAAGACTATTAAAAGCCTTTCTTCTTCGTGGGTAAGGATAATTTGTTCATTATTTTCGTGCCAATCTTCTTTAAAGACTCCTAATAAGTAACGGATAATTCTTTACGGTTGCTAACGAAGTATCATCTTAAGTGATTTCTACTTAGAAATTCAATTTTTGCCTTCCTTTCAGTCACGAACAGAATACAACAGACCTGCATCTCGTCAACTCCCAACTCTTGCAAAGAAACAAACAACAGAGGTAAATTTTGCCTTCAATCACAAATATTTATCATTTCGTAAGTGTTTGGTAAGCCATCTTTCAGTTTTTGCTGAAAATTTCTTAGAATTGTTACACACGTGAAAACCCCATATGTGATGGTTTTGTGTGTTTTTTTCAGTATTGTCAATCAACTGTGGTTCAAATTATTTTTCGACTGCTTAAATCACTTATGTTTCTATTTGACTTACAAGGAATTTTATGTGTCTTTGCTATGTAGGCAGAGCAAATTATAACACTTGGCTTAAATAAGAGTTACATATTTGAAATAAATCTTTCATTTGTCTTATATTTTCCAATTTATAAGGTATAAACCTGATTTGCAACCCTAGAGGTAGATGTTGATGCTCTTCCAAGTTATGGCTTCACAATATTCCAAAAATAGATTTTTGATGACCTCGCATTCTGCTCATCCATTATCGATCTGCTATAGTGCTTATCAATTTCTTTCATCAACACCTCGCATTGTCTTCTTGCTCAAAGTAACATGAATTTGCACTACCAATCTAAAGCATTGAAGTATGTATCTTAATGCCAAGGATGGTTCCTTGTTTAGAGATTTTACGCTGGTAGCATGTTCATTTAACTTGTAAACTGTTATTAGTTTCAGCAACAAGATCACGTAAGACCAGTTTCTCGCCCCATTCCGACTCTCACCAAACAACAAAATATAGAGGTAAGATTTTGTAACTCTCAGCAAATATTTTTTATATTGAGTAAATCTTACAAGTATACATGTTATTACTGCAACCCGAGTTGAAATTCTTTTCTCTCCTCACCTTACATTATGGAATGTGTATATTGTTAAGTGAATACCCCTTTTATAATTATTACTTTGATAATGTAACATTCAAATTATAAAATAAGCTGTAGACTTCGTGAGCAAGAGATAAACACGTCTGTTTTCGAGATTGCTTAATATATAAGAATACCATCAAATGATATGCGCAGGCACATGACGTCATACAGTAATGATAATAATAATAATAATAATAACTACTACATAAGCTGTAAAATGGTTTTTAAGAATAGGACATTTTGTATTTCTTTCATACCCATCCCGATTTTATAGTCAATTTTGAAAGCCTTTTTAATGACGTTATTTCCGTTAGATGCATATGGAGTCTCAAGCAACGCAACTCAGCAACCCTCCTTCCCGCCAATATGATCGATCAAAAGTGACGATCGACCATTGTCAGTCTTCTAAATCGAATACAAATGAACAAGCAGATGTTGACATGCAGTATTTGAATATTATTCGCCAACAGCTGCTTCGGGGAAACTCCGAGATAGGCGAGTCTTTCAGCTTTAGTTTTGATGCCACAGCAATTTTTAACAAATATTGGAATAGTGCTTTAGCCAAGGGCACTTGTTTTGTAAGAGCGTTCCATTTCATTCGGTTGCCTTTGAGTCAACATGCTTTGATTTTGTATCAGATCCTGTACACATAGCGTAGAATGAACTCTCTTACTTCTTATGTTCCGTATTTTTTGCAAATGGTAATGACAGCAAAAGAATATTGAATTTAGCTGCCATTTCAGAATCCTCCCTTAATTCAATTAGAGCTCTAGGGAAAACATCAAATAATGATTTGCTTGAGTCAAATTAGAAATAGCTTAAGTCTTTAGAAGACACCTCTCGCCAAATTAGTCTATGCATCCCCACATCATAGGAAGCCTTTAGTGCAGTGGCACAAGGCACTCTTCCAACCCATTATGAAGCCTTAGCCCTTAATATAAATTCAAATCACAAATTACCTAGCAACGTTTGGCAGCGAACGGACAAGAAAGCCCCGTTTCTTCCAAGTTAAGAACCGAAGCTCCAGTCCTACATCAGGTTCCCTAAATGTTGATATGTGGCAAAAATTGTATTCTTAAGGAGCAAAGTCTATCACAAAACCAGTAAGAGCAGTTTAATCGAGTTCAAGAGTATGTCACAAGCAAAACTGATCATATCTAGACGATCACCTTGTTCAATTGTATCCATGAACTGTATGACATTTTAGTCTATGTTTTTTTTCTTTTTAGAAGGGGCAAACTCAGGACAAACATCGTCGCAAACTCACGTGATAAAACAGTTGGCAGTATTACGCAAACAGCTTAGTACAGAGGAGCAAAAAGTGCAAAAAGAGCTGGAAAAAAACGTAGTGAGTTTTGTTGATATTGTTGGACAGGAATAATGCTTCGTTCTATGTTTTAAAATCTTGCCTTCAAAATTTTCTACTTGCGCATCTGTATGGAAGTACTAAAATTAACTCTGCTTGTGGCCTCGCTGATTTTTATTATAACATAAAGAAATTTTTATGTAACGTCAACATTGACTTTGTGACTTCAAACATTTCCTTGCTTCTGCTCGCTGTTCCGTCACTTATGTATTTCCTCAATGACTATTTGCTCTGAAATGGTCAAGGTACACTCCCGAGCAGTGATGTAAAGCGTTCTTTTCTTTAACAATTTTTTTTCTAATGTATTCATCATGCTTTCACGTTGATTCCTTGAAGGAAAAGTATCAAGAAACAAAGACAAAAACTAAAAGGTAATCTTTATACTACAGCTGAGTCGATCTAAAAGCATGAAACTTTGTTGTGGATACGGTATGACTTGTCCTTGAATAAATTCGATCTGCTCTGAAATTTATTCTGTTGAAAGATTTTGTTTTGATCAATTGATTCTGTCTAAGCTTTGTAACATCGTCAATCTCTTTGGCCTAGCATTCTGAGGCTGTGCATTTTCGTCTACATAGATTGATGAAAATCTCTTAAGAAGAAGATCGTCTTAACTATAGCAAAAGTGGAATTTAACTGCATTCTATGTAAAGATGAACTCGTAATCATGATCACACTTTTACTTCAGCATCACAAAACAGAAAAGTGAAGATCGTGCAGATATTTTCGAAAAAGCGAGAATTCGTCGTGGATCAGCAAAGAGAAGAACGGTATTCATTTGCACATATATTATTTTGTTCATGGATCCTTCTTATAATATTCTGATGCGAAGCAAGGTTGATTGAAAAAAGATTTTCTGTGACAATGAATGCTAGGAGTTTTATAGCAGACATGTCTGTACTGGTTCCTGTAGCCTAATCAATGAATTTGTCTGTTATCTCTGAGACCTTTCATCGACGATGTTTCAAATATTACAACCAACCCGTTTAATGTCCACAAAAAGACAAAAACTTCTTTATTGCCTTAATTACAAAGATTTTGTCTTTTCGTTGTTTTTGTTTCCACCTTCTAATGTGTGGACGTCATTACAAATTCACAATGAAAAATCATTCGCCAACCAGACGTGTATATTATTTCTGCAATGAGTGATCGCAGTAACCAAAGGCCTGTTATTCTAAGCAAGGTATTTGTGGTTTATTTTATGATCATTTTTCATGCTTTAGATAACTATTATTGATTTGTTTTTTGAACAATTTTTATTTTGTCTATTTGCACAGGCAGCGAAGCATGCGGATCAATTCAATAAACTGGCAGGTAATGGACTTCAAATGATTGTTATTATCAGCTTTATCAATCATCACAATCAACATTAATATGTTGTGATTATAATCGTCATCAATCATCGTCACTCATCGACCATCGATCATGAATCACAAATCATCAAAAGTGTCATCATTGAATGAGATCACTCCACAATGTCTTGCTTTTCCACGATGTTTTTAATGCAAAAACTTTTGAAAGCATTTCATTTGATATGCTTTATCCTTTCATCTCCAGATGCATCATCTGTAATAGACTTGAAATTGCCAAACAGGCAGGTCACTGTGAGTGAGCTTGATCTACAGCAAAGAGAATTTATCAGGTATGTACCAGCCTTCAAGCATTTGGAGTGGTAAACTTACGTTAGGATACCCTGGGTACCAGGCCCGTGGAATTCTAAAGGGGAGAAAAGTTTAAAAGGGAAATTGAAAGTAGAGAAAAATATACAGAGAGAAGCGAGATATTTCGCCTGTATTTTTTCTCTTATCCCCCTTTCTACTTAAAATTTACCTCTCCTTCCGATTCACTGGGCTCTTCTTCCCAGTGTACTACCAGGATAACTTAATATTAAAACTACTAACACTTTCTCCTGTGGATGGCACTTGTAAGATAGACAAGTACAGGAATCAATACAATTTGAAATATTAGAGAGGCCTAACGATATTTGTATATATTGTGAAGTTTTTAACCTACAGAGATAAATTATTGAGATGTCGCTTTTCTAGTACAAAATTTCCATTCAGGCTTACAAATTGTGCCCAGGTTTCTTGCAGGTTATGTTACTTATCCATGGTTCATGCCATTTTTGTTTCTTGTGTGCTTCAACATTTCATCCTTATGTCTATCGAAAGCTGAAAATAGCACATAGATTTAAGGAAACAGGAATCCTATGTAAAGTTTAAAGCACTGAGGAATTACCCTTGCCATTTTTTGACATTTCCTTCGTGTTTCTAGGCTACAGGAACAAAAACTCCATGCACTGCGCGAAGCAATCAAAGACACCTCTGATTTCTTGATGGTAAACATTGACAACGACAAAACATCGTCTACTAAAGTGGTAACGTAAACATTTGCTGTTTATTATCTTGCTAGTATTTAGTATCCCTGTTGACGTTCTTCATTTCGTAAACATTGCCTGAGTTTTTTTAACTCCATCCCCTTTTATCTTAAACTTTTTTTTGTCTTTTCTGAGGCATCGGCAAGAAATTTATTTAAGTTATTTTATGTTTACTTAGTTTTTGTACTGTTGAATTAGCAGTATTTAGTCTTGAAGTATGCATTCTCAATAACAACTAAGCAGTTCCAAGAATAGAGGAAGAGAGGTGCAGTTTCTTGATCTCCCTTTATTTATACCACTCCTACTTCTTGATGCCATATTTTCTCCTTCGCTCTGCCCCTTTCTGTTTCTTGATGCCCCTTTTTCTTTTGTCACACATTCTTCCTTAAAACTGCCTTTTTTCATGCTGCCCCTTACTCTTTCATGCTGCCCCTTACTCCTTCATGCTACCCCTTTCTTCAAGCCACCCCTTTTCTCTCATTGCAACCCCCTTCTCCTTCACGCTACCTCTTACCTTTTCAAACCAATATATTTTTTATTATACTTCCTGCAGTTTATCTGAAGTGGTATTTCATGTTTGATATTTTTTACAGTAAACCAGTGGCCCTGTTCTTTAAGATGACTGTTTTTTCTACAGCGGAGATCAAGTAAGCAATCGTTATTAGAATCGGACAGTCAGTTTATAAAAATGGATGATCAGTCAGTGAGGTTAAGCTCAAGACTTTCAACTGCTCAATCGAATCGCCGCTACTTGAATGCTGAAGATAGTCTGGAGGTAAATTTGATGTCTAACCAAAATAGTTGTTTGATGTTTTTTCACTTTGAAAATAGATTATGCTCCTTTTGAATCATAAAACTACTTTTATTGCGAAATTCTAATCTTTCATAAAGTTATAACGCTTAAAAAGGAAGCCCCTTCCAAGAAAATCCGATAATAACACGGACGAATCAATTTGGGGACACTGCTATTTCATAATAATTGGTTTTAGTTTGCCGTGAATTTCTTACTAGCTCGAAAATTATTTTACACTTGAATAGAATTTTAGTATCGCTCTTAAAGTGTGATTGTTTCAAAGACAGAAGACAAAGTTAACCATCTGTAAAAAATTTACTGAAAATTATCCTTTAGAAGGTTTTAACTTCTTTCTTATCTCTATACGTATAAGGTGCATTTTCACAAGCACTTTTTATGCACAGTTCCTCGTATCGTTAGAACACCATCAAACCAATCACATAGAACCTTGTGTTTGAGGTTACATTTATCAAGTTGGTAACAGCGCTAGTTCCTAATGATATCTTTCGTTAACACACATAAATTTTGATAAAGATGATCATAACAGAACAAATGTTGGATGACAGTGACATGACACGTTAGAAATTAAACTGTAGAGTCGAAACCCTAATCATCCATCAAAAGACAATTTCTAATACATATATATCTAGTCCTTGAGCAATTTTTCTTCTTTGTCGTTATACTAAGCAATACATTTTATAGGAACCATACGAATCAAGAACGAAAACACCTGGTGGCTATTCGATAGGCTCTATGACGTCACAAGCAATTGAAGAAATGGCAGCGAAAAACGAAGAACGATTGAAAAGTTTGCAAGCAGAAGGCCGAAGAGATGGTAGGCTAAGTTTATTTGTTCTTGCTATTTGAAAAAGGCTTTGGAAAAAGTCAACATTTTACAGCATACGAAAGCTTTTTCGTTTGACACTCCTCAGAGTGCAAAACGTCAGAAAAAGTTTCGAAAGAACACGATGAAATATATATACCCAGTTGTGGATCGAAATCTACGTAACCCAGAATCAGGAAAAGGCTAATCAGAAAAACGCAAGCACAAGGTCTGTATAATTGTCTAATTAGTACTGTGTTCTTACAGGGAAATCACTAGAGAAAACACTAATTCTTACTCAATATCGGCTTTTTCGTTTGTATGTGAATCAATTCCAAAACAGCTAGATGAATCTTAAACATTTCGTCATAGTAGTGTTTTGCACAATATGGGTTGTCTAAAAAGTGTTGTTGTCTGATGGCAGAATCACTTGATTTAACGGTGTTTCTGGGCCTACAAGATCGAGGTGCCTGTTCTCTTTGAGGGGCAATTTTGTTTCTTGTGTTGGATAGAACATATTGTTTTATCTTCTTCTCAAATCTTTGGATTGTGCGTTTCACGTAGCCAGAATCACGTAAGACTGTGTAGGAAATATTGCGACTGCTAAACTATAGTGCTACTTGCATTTCTGATGCAGTGTGGCTTGCATCTTTTCTCGCTGCCTTTTCCCTCTTCATTGCTAGCACTGCATCCCAATTTGCTGCCTGGCTAAAAGAAACTGGCTGAATTGAATCTTTCAGTTGGAATTGAATCGCCATGAAAATATTTCCAATGTCCGCAAATATGATCAACAATCTGTGAATCTAAGCTAGGCTAGTATCCACTCTTTAACATGTTCCCACAGTTATTAATGTTTAGATATCGCATCATGTAAGAATTCGTCGCTAAAGAGATGGTTTTCTTGAAAGTTTGGCCTAATGTCTTCACTTTTATGTCATTTGCAGTTGCCACCCCTGAAGACCCAGAAGATATCATCGATAAATATCTCAGATCATCAAGTCAAAGGTAAATTTTAAGTTCTAATTTTTTCTTAAACCATGTCTACTATTTACTTTTAAATCAACCATTGAAAGCTAACGAGTGCATTGAAGAAGGATTACAGCCCTGCACAAAGGTACTACAGCATATTTCAAAGGTTATGTCCCCAAAATTACTTCTTTTGAAAATGACACTTCAAAGAAATACCTTTTCGAAGTCTCCAAGACTAGAGTTAAAATGGTTTTATTTAGTGCAAGCCAGTTCCCTAATCCACAATAGCTATCAGCATAAAATAAAGGTCTTTTGATACCACAAAACGTAAGAACGGCGCCGAAAAGGTCTTCTTGTAATGCCCTAACTTATGGCATTTGCGATCAGTCTATGTCATTCTGTCCTACTTTCCGTACTCCTAATGAGTTCCAACTTTGATTTGCCACTCCATTTTGCAATGCTCTGATAGAATGTGATCCTCTGCCTTCCTCTTGCCCTTTTCCTTTCTATCTTTCCCATAACTGTTTGCTTTCCTATTCCATCTTTCTGCATGCAGTGTCCAAGGAACTGTATAAAAAAATTAAAACATTGCATGTGACGTTTCAATTTTTCCCTGCTTTTTCGAATTACCTTTTCTTATGTGTTGTAACCGAGGCAGAATTTTTGTCTGATTAGCCATTTTTTTACTGGCGTCAAAAGAAATGATAAGATTTCCTGAAGATATGCGATGCAGTATCACTTCTATGTAACTACTGACAAATCAATAGTTACTGAATAACCTTGAAAATGCAATTTCTACTTCATTCATAGGGGGAGCAGGCCTCAAACAGGCCAATCTGAAAAGAGTTTACCTTCAAACACAGCTTTGAAATAACTATATAACACCAGAATTGGATTAACTAAAAAGTATCGATTTGAACTTCTTTGCTATGTGGTAGCTTCGTTTTCCAGTGTTCGTTTCCAGGTGTTTTGAATCACCATGAAAGTTAAGGCTAAACCTTCGCAGAGCAGTATTTTGCTGTTGTAATGTGTGCTTAGTAAAGTAGAATATTGTACATCATATAGTTTATTTATTCCATCTAATTTTGTGCCAGATTCGATGTTATGTGACCGTTTGATAATTTCGTGATTATTTCGCTACCTCTCCGTTCCATTCGATTGAAAAAAATTGAAATCTTGAATGCCTCTAACAAATTTCTAAATATTTTTCTTGCAATGTTACACTTCTTAAGTCTATATATAAAATATTTGTTTTTCACATCTTTTCACTAAGAAAGTTTAAGATATATTGAAGTTTTGACTGGACAGTTCGTGAAAATATGGCCATGTTTATATCGAAAGAAGGTGTTGCACGTATGCTAAGCTATACTCACTGTTCTTGAAAGGTTGCTTCTGGCGCAGTCCTGACAGCATTCCTTGTAATCTAGGGAAAAAAGTTATTTGAGTATGGAAAGTTACAATTATCATAAGATTGTCTTATTAAAGGTAAGTATCTCATCGACTTCTTGTATATCAAATAAGTTAAGTAAAAAATGATGATCAAATAAAGGTTATTTTTACACAGAAATGCGTAATTTAGTGTGAAAATTATACGGTCAGTGTCTTGTGAATATGCTAAAATATCAAAGTTAGAAAAAGATAAGGGTATGTAGTTTGTATTCATTTACTACCTTTGGTTTTTATAATAATCAAAACAGCCAATGCTATAATCAAATCAAAACATCACCATACATATCTTTACCTCGAAACAAAATGCATATTTTTTAAGGACGTGTTTACTCAAATAAGCTTTCAAATTGATTCTTTCTATCCAAAAGGACCTTTGAATTAAAGAATTGGGGTTTTTAAAGATCAAAAGCCAGCAAAATCACCCATGATTCTTCGATTAATAGTTGAAGCTTTTGACTGAAAGTAAGAGACTTCTACCCGAAAAGAGGCACAAAGTACTCTGGTCAGTTTTTGATGAAAAGTAAAGGCTGTAACCTTAGAAAATGCGGAAAATTTTGAAGAAATTGTTTGGACTAATACCTCCTAAAATTCGTTCCTTGTATCGAGAGATGACCAATGAGTCATTGGGTCGGTGATTTATTAGCTTGAAAACCCGAAAAAAAGGGGAAAATACTCTGGTCAGTTTTTGATGAAAAGTAAAGGCTATAACCTTAGAAAATGCGGAAAATTTTGAAGAAATTGTTGGGACTAATACCTCCTAAAATTCGTTCCTTGTATCGAGAGAAGACCAATGAGTCATTGGGTCGGTGATTTATTAGCTTAAAAACCCGAAAAAAAGGGGAAAATACTCTGGTCAGTTTTTGATGAAAAGTAAAGGCTATAACCTTAGAAAATGCGGAAAATTTTGAAGAAATTGTTTGGACTAATACCTCCTAAAATTCGTTCCTTGTATCGAGAGAAGACCAATGAGTCATTGGGTCGGTGATTTATTAGCTTAAAAACCCGAAAAAAGGGGAAAATACTGTGGTCAATTTTTGATGAAAAGTAAAGGCTATAGCATTAGAAAATGCGGAAATTTTTGAAGAAATTATTTAGACTAATACCTCCTAAAGTTCGTTCCTTGTATCGAAAGAAGACCAATGAATCATTGGGTCGGTGATTTATTAGCTTAAAAACCCAAAAAAAGGGGAAAATACTCTGGTCAATTTTGGATAAAAAGTAAAGGCTATAACCTTAGAAAATGCGGAAAATTTTGAAGAAATTGTTTAGACTAATACCTCCTAAAATTCGTTCCTTGTATCGAGAGAAGACCAGTGAGTCATTGGGTCGGTGATTTATTAGCTTAAAAACCCAAAAAAGAGGAAAATACTCTGGTCAATTTTTGATGAAAAGTAAAGGTTATAGCCTTAGAAAACATAAAAATTTTTGAAGAAATTATTTAGACTAATACCTCCTAAAATACGTTACTTGTATCGAAAGAAGACCAATGAGTCATTGGGTCGGTGATTTATTAGCTTAAAAACCCAAAAAAAGGGGGAAATACTCTGGTCAATTTTTGATGAAAAGTAAAGGTTATAGCCTTAGAAAATATGGAAATTTTTGAAGAAATTATTTAGACTAATACCTCCTAGAATTCGTTCCTTGTGTCATAAGAAGACCAATGAGTCATTGGGTCGGTGATTTATTAGCTTGAAAACCCGAAAAAAAGGGGAAATACTCTGGTCAATTTTTGATGAAAAGTAAAGGTTATAGCCTTAGAAAATATGAAAATTTTTGAAGAAATTATTTAGACTGATACCTCCTATAATTCGTTCCTTGTATCGATAAAAGACCAATGAGTCATTGGGTCGGTGATTTATTAGCTTAAAAACCCAAAAAAAGGGGGAAATACTCTGGTCAATTTTCGATGAAAAGTAAAGGTTATAGCCTTAGAAAATATGGAAATTTTTGAAGAAATTATTTAGACTTATACCTCCTAGAATTCGTTCCTTGTATCGAAAGAAGACCAATGAGTCATTGGGTTGGTGATTTATTAGCTTAAAAACCCAAAAAAAGGGGGAAATACTCTGGTCAATTTTTGATGAAAAGTAAAGGTTATAGCCTTAGAAAACATAAAAATTTTTGAAGAAATTATTTAGACTAATACCTCCTAAAATACGTTACTTGTATCGAAAGAAGACCAATGAGTCATTGGGTCGGTGATTTATTAAGCTTAAAACCCAAAAAAAAGGGGGAAATACTCTGGTTCAATTTTGATGAAAAAGTTTAAAGGTTAAGCCTTAAAAATATTTTTTGAAAATTCTTTGAGAAAAATTATTTTAGACTAATACCTGCCTAGAATCGTCCTTGTACGAAAGAAGGGACCAATGAGTCGGCACCACGGGTCCGAGATGCGTCACGTAAGAGCCCCAACTAAGACAAACATCAGCTCGGGTTGTAAGCGTACGAAATACCTCGGTCACATTTTCATTGAAGAGCTAAAGTTATGCCCTTCTTCGAGAAGAGAACATTAATGAGCCCATATTCCTCTTTATACAGATCACCTGACTGACGAACCTACCAGTCAAGACGTCTCTTCATACCTTCGGTGAGCGTGTGAGGCACATTGGCGGACACGGCAATGCAGTCACGCAGAGTGCGTAGATGTGCGTGTCCATAGAGCTATAATAGAGACCTTCTCAGCCACGTATGCAATAAGTATTGCATGAGCTACGAGAATACTATCTAACCAATGCTCGCATGTGCGTTCGCCCGATATCGAAAAGGAAGTACACAGCACGTCCATATCCTTATCAAATCCACACTATGTGAGCACGTCAACACATCTCTCACACCTTGCACCTGTGAGTGAGCCTAGCACCCGAACATATCTCCATACGCGTCCTTATCGGAGTATCGCCGAACACTGACTCGTACAGACAACTCCCCTCTACTGTCTCGACTATGTATATTATTATGTAGCGTGAGAGAGAGATCCACAACAGATGAGATCAATAGAAGCCTCACTCACATCCTCACTGCTCCAATCCCATTCCAAGAGAGAGAGCGTTCTCCTACGCTCCCCTCCGACTGTTTTTGTTGAAGACAAGAGAGTCTACGCGTAATTCCCACCCCACAAGAGAGAGCCTTTATACCGCTATTCCCCTTGTTTGGGTTTTTTAAAAGCGCTAAACGATCTTACACGGAACTAATAATGACCTCTGCGAGTGTGCTGTCTCTATATCTATGATATCGGTTATGCCGAGCACATCAAATATGAGCGCGTGTGCGAGAGAGAGATACCCTGTACAATGGTCTTTAAAACTATATAACTATAGCAACACTAGGCGTGTGTCCACTGTCGAACCATCACATGCACGAAGCTCTGAGTCCGCGCCTTTTTTGGATTATCCCGTAATCCCACTCGCCAAATCCAAAGAAGCCTCCACCTTCAACAATAACAGAACACGCAGAAGCAGACGTATTTTAGGAAGGTATTTGGTCTAAATTAATTCTTCAAAAATTTAGTTTTCTAAGGCTATAACCTTTACTTTCATCCGAAAATTGACCAGAGTATTTCCCCTTTTTTGGGTTTTTTAAGCTAATAAATCACCGCCAATGATTCATTGGTCTTCTTTCGATACAAGGAACGAATTCTAGGAGGTATTAGTCTAAATAATTTCTTCAGAAAATTTTCATAATTTTCTAAGGCTTAACCTTACTTTTTCATCAAAAATTGACCAGAGTAATTTCCCTTTTTTTGGTTTTAAGCTAATAAATCACCGACCCAATGACTCATTAGTCGTCTGTCGATACAAGTAACGTATTTTGGAGGTAATTAGTCTAAATAATTTCTTTCAAAAATTCTTTATGTTTTCTAAGGCTATAACCTTTACTTTTCATCAAAAATTGACCAGAGTATTTCCCCTTTTTGGGTTTTTAAGCTAATAAATACAACCCAATGACTGCATTGGTCTTCTTTCGACGACAGCGAGACGAATTCTAGGGAGGTATAAGTCTAAATAATTTCTTCAAAAATTTTTCCATATTTTCTAAGGCTATAACCTTTACTTTTCATCGAAAATTGACCAGAGTATTTCCCCTTTTTTTGGGTTTTTAAGCTAATAAATCACCGACCCAATGACTCATTGGTCTTTATCGAATACAAGGAACGAATTATAGGAGGTATCAGTCTAAATAATTTCTTCAAAAATTTTCATATTTCTAAGGCTATAACCTTTACTTTTTCATCAAAATTGACCAGAGTATTGTCCCCTTTTTTGGGTTTTCAAAGCTAATAATCACCGACCCAATGACTCATTGGTCTTCTTTATGACACAAGGAACGAATCTAGGAGGTATTAGTCTAATAATTTTCTTCAAAAATTTCCATATTTTCTAAGGCTATAACCTTTACTTTTCATCAAAAATTGACAGAGTATTTCCCCCTTTTTTGGGTTTTTAAGCTAATAAATCACCGGACCCTATGACTCATTGGTCTTCTTTCGATACAATTAACGTATTTTAGGAGTATTAGTCTAAAAATATTCTTCAAAAATTTTATGTTTTCTAAGGCTATAACCTTACTTTTCATCAAAATTGACCAGAGTATTTCCTTCTTTTTTGGGGTTTAAGCTAATAAATCACCCGACCCAATGATCACTGGTCTTCTCTCGATACAAGGAACGAATTTT